CGTCAAAGTGGTCGCCAATTCCTCACTTAGAGGAGAATAGGCTTTTCATGTAATTTCCTTAATTGATCCTTTGCCGCTGTTTGCTCTTTGAGCATCAGCTTGAGTGATACTGTAGCTGAGCCGGGCTTGACCTTCTGATGATAATTCTCCTCTGTGTAAAACACACAGTGCGCGTGTATGTGTTTAACCGTCCGGGAGGGTGCAGATGCACTGCAGTGAATTACATGTGTTTTCAGACTCTGTTGATGGGCATTCGGCCCTCCATTTGACAGTGTTCAGCGTCGCCAAGAGAAAGCTAAGACTGCAAAGCAGCCAAGTTAGGAGAGAAAGGTAAACACCGACATTAGCGTAAATGTTATTTGCATATGAAAATAATACCTGCACGACCTTTTAAGTTCACATTTTATATTTCTGTACATATTTGTTTTCTATTTAAGAAGCAGGCTACTAAATAATAATTCTATATAATAATGCTAATCATAATTGCCATCTCTATGTCTGGAAGGGTTCAGTAATACACAAAGACAGGTTCCGCCACCAAATAGCTTACAGTCTAAAATTTGACAAAGAGTTGGGAGGCGGGAGCAGACCAGGTGCAGGTTTTTAGGAAACAGGCTTACGTATGTGTGTCTGCTCAGAAGTAAGCTCTGTTGAATTTGGCGGGACTTACTCCCAGGTAAACCTTAGAACTTGGCGTTTTCTTTTGCTGCCATTATTTATTTACGACAGGGTGTATTCTGTGGGGTCTCAGAACACTCTCTCCTGTCTGAGCCTGGCCAGCAAGAAGATTTTGTCCAGATGTGTGATCTGAGTCGGGTGGGCCTTTGAGCCCATCTTAACTCACTCATGCGACTGGAGAAACAGGAGTGGAGAGGCCCTCAGGCCTGATGGATCTGAGCCCCCCCCCCCCCCACACACACACACACAACTGGTCTGCCAAAACCATCTCTTTGCTTTCCTCCCGAGGTTCCAATGGCGACCTCAAGCACGGGAGCTGCCATGGAGCTTCCTGCCGCATCTCCAAAGCGCTGCAAAGCTCTCTTGTCTGCCTCAGAGGCCGCCTTCGGCATCCTCTGACACATCACAGGGCCTTAGGATTGCTGTCTCGGCTTGTCTCATGTTTTTTGTCTGAAACTGTTCGTTAAGTTTTTAAGTGGTTGAGTTGGCAGCAGGTAGATACTTTAAAATAAAGTATCTACATCGTGGCCACAGGGGCGGCGGACTGGAGGACTGGAAATGCCCAAAACGCAGCAGGGCCAAGTTACCCTCTTTTGAAGAAATAGACCAGACCATCTAAAAAGCTGCACCCCCCCCATGTTGCCCCCCCCCACCCCCACTCTACAGGACCGCTAAATCCAGAGCCTAAAATTGCCTAACAGAACCACTGAAAATAAATAGATTTTAACTGGGCTTATGAGGTTCCAGAGCGGTGCTATTTCCCCTGGTTTCAATTCTTTTGCCCCATGGAGTTTCTGGTCAAACAGGTCTTACGGGTTTTTGAAAGGATCCCAAAAACATGTTTATTTAGAGGTGGAAACATGGACGAGTATTTTTCTGCACTCCTTCTTTCGAACTACCTTCAGCCGTTTAATATCAAGGAAAGCAACTTCTTTTGGTCTCCAGCTAAGATCCTTGTTCTCTCCATATTGCTGTACCAAAGCCTATCTGTTGCCATGTATTGTTATATTTATGACTCATCTTAGGATTTACAGGGCTTCTCTTGATCTATTTCTCATCTAACTGGCTAAGCAGCCCAGAGCTGACACATGCAGCACTCCTGCGACCAGTTTCTCTTCTGTCATTGACGTGTTTCATTTGGCCAATTTATTTGCAGATTTACAGTCTCCCCTGACTTTCAAAGGTTTGAAAATTAACACTAAAATCAATACCACATATAAAACCTGCGATGACTTTACTGTAAATTATTTTGCATTTACACCGTGTCTGGCTTGCGTCGAAATGTGTGTGTCGCGTATGTAAATGAAAATGCCTAGTGAGTAAAGGCAGGAAAAAGGGCTAGTTTTCTAAAACACAGCCTCTTTGGAAAGGGAAGCCAAGTCGGGCTCTTTTGTAGCATATGGGGGAACCGTGCAGCTTGGGAGATTCAAACGTGGAGTCGGCAGCTGTACAAGGCTTTTTTTCTTCTTGGTGTCAGCCTGGTGTCTGTAAGCAAAACAGACTGGCAGGGGGAAGCGGTCGCTGCAGTGCTGCCTGCTATAAATGGAGAAGTTGGTGAAGTTTGAACAAAGGGGAAATGAGCAGTGTGTCACCTCTTGGGTCCCACACGCTGGGGAAGGAGGGGCTCTGTGGATCTTCCTAGCAGAAGAGGGTTCTTTCGCTCAGCAGGCTCCGAGTTCAGTCCCTGGTTTCACCAAACGCAGCATCTTCAGCAATGTTGACCATTGGAGCCACTCTCCTGCTCACCACCCGAAATGGCTGCCGGGGAGGCAGTGGCAGCGTGCACGATGCTAAGCAGCTCCTTAGAACATGCGATGTCCAGCGCCAGCAGGAACTTTTTCACTCGTTCTCTCCACTGGGCCTGACAACTCATTCTTCCCCGCAGGCGATCTCTTTTCCCCTTTAGCTTTTAAAAGCAAAGCTAGGAAAAGCCTTTTCGAGCTGCTGCCAATCAAACGTCTCCCTCCAGCCTGATAACCTCCAGGTGGTTTGGGCTACTGCTCCCTTCAGACAATCAGTAACCAGTGGTTCTCCAACAACCCACAGTCAAGCCATATTCATCCCCTCGATGCATTTCGTTGTGTTCTCCGAACGAAAAGGGGTTGGAAGTTACAGAAGCAGGCGGGGGCCAGTGGGTCACTTCAAAGGGTTCTTGGCCTAATGAGCTGGTGTCTGGATGAGCCTGTCTCCCGGGATGCAGCTTCCGGGCTCCTCCCTTGCTGCAGTTAATTCAGGAAGCCTTCAATTGCAGTAATTATAGTTTTCTGTTGCATTCCAATTAGGAATCTTGGTGGGCCAGCTTTGGAAGAGGTCAACATCCTAAAACGTGCAACTTATTGTTTTATTAATTCTTCTGCTTGTCTATATTGACCAGGCCTCAAGGACCCCTTTTCCTATATCCTCCATGGGTTCTGCATGATCCGAGCATCACTTTACCAGCTCCGCCCAGGGTAAACCAGCCTTTTGACTTGTACATAGATGCACTTCATTATATACCTGACAATGCGACGATCACAAAGGTGAGCTCTGAGATTCTTCGGTGATTACCCACTTCATTCGGCATAACTGGACCATGTTACTCATGAGTGGAGCCGGCTGGAGCCGGCGGTGAGACTAGATGGCCCAGGAGGCCCCTTCTGACTCACTCTGTTTCTGTATTACTGCTGGGCAGGTCTGAGATTCCTGTAGTGGCCTGGTACTTCCAGGGGCAATGCAAGGTGCTGAAAAGGGCCAGGGCTGATGCCCACAGGCCAGAAGAAAGCTCAAATTAGCCCCTGCGAATTTCTCTAAAGTCCCTTTCCCTGTGTGTCTTTAAAGAAGTCTGTCTTCTGAGCATACCCATATTTTAAAAATGAAAGCATGGGCAAGAAGGTATTGGATTTCGGGAAGAAATCTGAAGCGGAGCGATTCAAATGGGTGGGGCACAGGTGGAGAAGCCGAAAGGTAGCTCCCCCGGGTGCTCGGGCGCAGCAGGGGCTCATCAGTGCTGCTGTCCCTTCATTTCGGCCAGTGCATGTGGACCGCGGGGTGGCGGTGGCGGCTTCCCAGAGGGCTGGGGCTCCAGAGGAAGGAGCACCCGGCCCCGCCTCTGGGGCATAAGGAAACGGTGGCCTTCCCTATGCACTGCCAGCTCTTCTTCCTGGACTTTGGTGCCCCCAGCGCTTAGGGCCAGATGTCTACAAGGCTCCGGGTGGGCTGCCGGTCCCAGCCTCCATTTCCCGGTCCCGCCTGGAAAGGGCCTGCCTGCCAGGCTCCGCATGTGGTCTTTGCTTTGACGCTTGGGGCAAGTAATTGCACAAACGTTTCTGCCAGGCGTGGCTTCTTGGGAAAAGCACGCAGATGAAGAGTTAGAAGATGATCTCCCTAAGTGTCTAAATTGGGGCCGAAGGGAGGCTGGAATACCGGGACTTTTTAATACTGCTGTTTGCCCCAAGAACTCAGAGCAGGGACTGAAGGTTGCACACTTAAAAATGCAGAGGAAGAGATCTCCGAAGGTGTGTTGGCAGGATGACAAGCGCCTTCAAGGTCGCTGTGCTGATGATGTGCAGCTGGTGCAGATGTGCCAGAAAAGGGACTTGGCCACCAGCACGTGTGGCGAAAGACCATGGGAGGGGAGGGGGGGGAGGGCGGGCTCAGGCTGCCCATGACAACAGGTTGCTTGGCAGATTTCAGTACCCGAGTTGGTTCCCCAGAACAGAAATGGCAATGTTCTTCTGTTGTAAGCCATCCGGAGGTGTCAGTGGTGGACAGGTTAGAAAAGCGATGGATGGATGGATGTTTTTAGCTGCTTTTGCCCCAAGAGTAGGTGGGCAATCCATTCTGAATTGCTCTCCCAGCTTCACACAGCCTGCCACCCCCTCTTGGGGATAACCCTCGAACAATCCGTGGGCCGTCAGGGGGATTTGTGCTGAAAAACAAGCCAGCCTGCGAGAAACATCTGGGTTTGGATGATGTGGCAACCCACCATGGCTAGCTACCCATGTTGGGTTGTTGTGCCGTGCAAACCCAGAGTGTGTGTACACATCTGCCTGAGATAATCCAGGGTCGGCCACTTGAAGCCTTCCAAATATTTTGGACTACCAGGCCCATAATTCCTAATCCCATGCCCTGCTGCCAAGAGCTGATGGGGGCTGATGCACAAGCTCTGCAGGACACCAGGGTGTCTAATCTGTACATGAACCTTTTCCCTGTATTAGGTGACAGGTCATTTCAGGAATTCTGGCTCAAGGGATTTGCACCATGTTGTAGCTTTTCCTGTTCTCGAGAGTTCATCCCGAAATCCAGAATTCCAGCACCGAGCCGCAGTAAGTGGAGAGATTTCAGGTAGAATGGATATCAACACCCGGCTTGGGTTTGAAATCCACACAGTGGATGTGGATTCTGGAGACCTCGTTCTGCTAGGTAAGGAGAGCTAAAGGTCCTTGTGTCCCATCTCCCTGCTTGGGCTCCCATGCAGTTTGCAATTCTTGTATGTTTCTCTTTGCATCCCTGGAGTTTCCTCTGCTTGAGGGGTTGGACTGCTATTGCTGAGCCCGTTCCTCTGAGATCGAGTGCTTACTGGGGTGGAGAAGGGCAGGGGGAGGTGAATGCAGCCTAGATCCAGCATAAGCTGCTTTCAGACCAGCAAAGAAGCGGGACCCACGGGCTAGAGAGTCACAGGGGCCTGTCGCTATTAAGAAGCTTTTCTATGGGTCTGGCAGTTCCAGGACACCCATAAAGGGCAATCTCTCACAGAGCACATTACAATAATCCAAATGTAATGGCTACAGCTGAGTGACAGTACACAAGAGGGGCGAGTTCCCCATCACCGCTACTGCCAGCATTGCCTAGAATCTTAGAACAGGAGAGCTGGAAGGGGCCGTGAAGGCCATCAGGTCCAGCCCCCTGCAGTTGCAGGACACCCCGTCACACCATCCCACTCAGAGGCTGTCTGATTTCTTTTTGACTATCTCTAGTGTGGGAGAGCCTATCACCTCTCTAGACAGCTGGTTGCAAACCATCTCTAGTATTTTCCCTGAATCTTCCTCACCTCAAAGGCGGGGAGGGAGAGACTAAACCCAGGACTGGTTTTAGCGATACGCTGGTAGCAAGCACAGCCCAGGCGGTCCTGAACGCTGAAAGGCAGAGAGAGGGAGAGACATCTGAATGTGGGAACGAGTGCAGATCTGCAGTCCTACATTTCACTTTGCTGCTGGATGCTGAACGAGTTGGATCGTTTTAGGCAATTTGGGCTGGCAGATGGCAAATGCAGTTTTTAACTCAGACACATAAACAAGACACCCGGCTAGGGAATATATGATAGAGGGGAAGTCATCATCCAGTTTACTGATCAAGAAGAGAAGCATTTTTCAAGGCCGTGGTGTGCAAAGAAATAATTGAAACCATCACTCTAAGATACAGCAGCAGGTTTGTTTTTTTAAAAGAAATCGCAGTGCACAAAATAGCTGGAACACTCTTCTGCACACCTTTCCACACACGAGTAGACCTATTGATCTGCAGGCGCTGAAAGCCTCTTTGGACTTCGGACAGGGCCCAACAAATAATCCTCTCCCCTTTGTTGACAACCGCAGGGAGCTGCGTGATCCACATCTTTAATGCGGGAGGAGAGCTCAATGTGGGCGGGTTTCAGCTCAAACTGAGAGCCAGCCCGCTGCAGGAGGACTCTTCGCCTCTTACCCCTCCCATGCCAGTGGTTTTTGGCTGTACTCTTCTTATTCGACTCTTACCACCAACAGAGGCAAGTCTGTGTGTTGTCAAGTGGGAGCTGTTAGAAGAAGTTGCGGCGTGGGGCGTTTCTGCCTGTATTCCCAACCACTCCATTCTATCCCCCCTCTTCTTCACTGGTTTCCCATTCCCTCCCCGGCCGTCGAGCCCCAGCTCTTTAAGGTTTAGTGGCAATGTTTCTCCTTGAATGAATTTTCCCGTCATTCATTTGTTCGTTCGTTTCATTTCTCTACCACCCAAATGCAAAGCTCTTGGCACGTCACTCGAGAGGCAACATAGTATGCCTCCGTGTGCTGGAGTCTAGGGTCTACCTTTTCTCTTTTATGGCCGGGTGAGACATTTTATTCATCTCCTCGGCTTGCCTTCCGTGGGGTGTGTTGAGGCTGGCCCTTGCAGCCATTTCACGAATGAGAAAGGTTTCCCCATGGCAGCCATCTTCTGAGTTCACCCTTGATACAATTTCAATATGCCAGATGTGTCCACTGAACCTGAAATGTTGGGGTCCCTGAATGCTTTCTTTCGCTTTGGGGGTGTGGTGGGGAACCATATGTGGAGAGAGCCTAGCTCAGTGGTAGGACGCTCTCTCAGGTGCCAGGTGCAATTCTGGGCTCCTCCACACTCAGGATCAGGTCGCAAGGGCTGAGAAAGGGGGCAGGAAAGCCGCCGGTGCCTGTCTCAGTCTGGCGTTATCTAGGGCGGCCGCACTTCCCCACCCCTGCCCCACTGGTTGACTGAGCGAGGCTCTTCTTTTTCCTTCCTACAGATTCCAGTGCCTCCCCCAAACTACTGGACCGGGTACTATTTCACCGATGGAGCGAAACCCAATAGTTCAGAGCTGCAGATCATTGCCAGCTTTCAAAAGGACAACAGCTTCCCCAAACGTGTGCTGGACATGGGCATGAAGTTAGCCCAGAAGGAGCAAAGCAGAGGTAGGAAGGCAGGCAAGCCGGTTTGTGAAGGCTTCTTGGCCGCTGACACAACTGAACGCCAAACTAGAGACGGGACAGAGCAGCGCCACAAGCACAGATCGGTTGCACACCAGCTGCTGCTTCCTCGGGTCCTGCCGTTTTATGAGGCAGAGCTTGGGATTTCCAGCACGATTCCCACCTCCACTCACCACAATTCCCCGAATTCTCTGGGGGACAGCCAGGCACAAGGTTGGGGGCTGCAGTGAAGTGTATAATTAAGGCTTAGGCAGGATCTTGACGTACGTTAGAGAGAGATTTCGCTTAGTAAATAGGAAGCTGCATGATATGAGATTAGGTACTGTGGTTCGTCTAGCCCAGGTCTTTCTCATCACCTGGAAGTGGCAGGGGTTGAACTCTCAGTCTTTGGCGCACAAAGCAGGTGTTCTTCCCCTGAGCTCCACTAAATTCCTGTGCTGCGTCATGTGCTAAGAGTTGGCAAGAGCTGTTCTTACAGGTAAGTTGTAAATTACCATGGTCGCAGTAATGGGACCACGGTCTGTCTGTCTATGTGAGAGAGAGAGCAAGCAAGCAAGCGAGCGCTATATATTTTTTGTTTCTGCTCCTTCACCGTTGAACAAAATAAATACTTCACCCCCCTCAGCATCTTTTTCCTTTCTTCACTTGGTGAAGCCATTAGAAAAGCCATGAAAAAGTTGTACCACTTTTGGCACGCTGGGCGTTGTAGGACCTTTTTCCATCTGGACGCTTGCAGGGTTCTCCTTAAGCCATTCCTGTTCCACGGGCACTAGTATTTTGTCACACGTTCAAATTCCTCCTTCAGTGCCGCCGGATCAGCTAAAAACCTGGTGCATGGAAAAACTGGGCGAGAGGGGAGGTCTGTCACCAGGCGGACCTCTCAGGTGCATCGACGTGCATCGTGCGGTCCACTATCGGCAGGAAGCTGGCCTCCACGTCCGCATCAAGCAAGCGTTTGGGCTCAAAGGTAGGCACGGAGGTTGAAAGCGCCGTTTTGTGGGCAGTTCTCAACCGACTAAGCAATTTTGTGGCTGGGGGTCGAAGGCACGCGATCAGTAACCACACCAAATCACCATGAGCTCCCGGAGGTTAGCCGTGCCCTCCACTGCTGCTCCCAGCTGGCTCCCCCCAAATATTCCGCCGGGATTTCATGTCCGTTGAATGTTCTCAGTCCTCACTGCACTTCTTTTCTTGTCCCCCGCCCCCCCAAAAAAATCTTTTTGTACTTCTGCAAATTTTGGCATTCTCCCGGTCCGGAAAATAACCCCTCCTGTGCATGGTTAGTGCCACGTGGGCTGTAGGGGAACGTCGGAAGAGCCATGCTAGACCAGACGGAGGGTTCATCTTCTCTGGGATTCAGTTCACACAGTTTCCAACGCAGGGAAAGCCACAGGCCAGACATGATTTCAGCAACAACCTCACGTTCCTCAGCAACCGGTGCATGTGGGCACCTTCTGATCCTGGAGGGCGGCCATCAGGACAAGCAGCCCTCAGTAGCCTGAATCTCTATGAAACTATCCTACCCTCCTTTAAAGCCATCCAGAGTTGCGGCTGTTTTGAAACCAATCCCTTAATTTAACTCTGCACAGAATGAAGAAAGACCACCTTTTGTCCGTCCTGAATCTCCCACCCACCGACTTCATAGGGGGGACATGATGGGGTTCTAGCTCTCAATGTTTCTCTCTGGACACAAGCCATGACAATCACACCTGAAGATCTAGGGAGAACTAGAATGTTCATTAGTCAAGCCTTTCCTTCAGTATTCCCCAGTCCGGTGCTCTTGGAAGTTCGGGCCTTAGCTCCCATCAGCCGCAGCCAGCATGACCAAAGGATTAGGAATGCTGAATTGTAGTCAAAAACAGGGAGCGCCCTGTGTTTCCGGAGGCCTTTGGCTGTGGAGTCCCCTGGGTCACTTCAGACCAGCCATTCCCCCTGAGCCTGACCTGGCTGTTGTGGTGAGGATAAAATGAGCCTATGAAAGCTGCCTTGGTTTCTTCACAAGAGGAAAGGGCAGGATATAATATAAAATAATGTTATATTTATTTTATATTGTTCATTTGTTTCATATTTTGAATGTATTATATTTTAACTTTACGTTGTGAGCTGCCCCGAGGCTTCGGCGAATGGGGTGGCACAGAAATGTTTTAAATAAATAACAACAACAACAATAACAGCAGCATTTTTGGCCACTTGCCTTACTGCCTTGTTTCCCACCCCACCTCCCTCCACCAGCTGACGGATATTATGTGAATGCGCTGGCCAGGATCCTGAAAGGAGCTGCAAGCAAACACTTGCCCGAGCTGCCTCAACGCTGGGGGGGGGAAGAGAAGTTCCTGGCGCAGCAGCTCGACTTTGCAAGCCTGCAGAGATCCCCACGGTGGACTGACCCTTCCGTGGTACGCAGCGGTGGTGACCTCAGGCTGGGGTGCGGTGGCGGGAGCCTGACACTCATCCTGTAAACGGTTAGAGCAGCCTGCAGGAGCCCACAGCAGTGGATTTCAGCGTCCGCGTGAAAGGAAACGGATGTGCCTGCCATTGCTCAAAAATAATTTTTGCCCGTGCCACGACGCTCTTCCAGGGCATGTTGTGATTCATGCCAGCAATTCAGCTGGATTCAGCATCCATCTTGATGCAGCAAGAAGACCTGCAAGCTCATTGCTTGGCCGGCGACATGGGATGCTTATAGATTATCGCTCCTTATAAAACAATCACACGAAAGGGACACCAGGCACGTCCTGGACAAGAAGAGCAGGTGGATTAATAGGACAAGAGGCTTCGCGAATGGTGTGGACCACAGTCTAGACTTGCTGAATTTGGGGTTCTGTGCTGATTCTCTGGGTGCAGGTATCCCTGTCCCTTCTAGCTGCCCTCTGGGTAGTTATTTCTCTGCCGATTGATGTTGTTATTTTTAAAAACCACCTGCAGAGGTTCAGCAGGCATCTGTCCTCCAATAGAAGTTCTCACAGGCAAGGGCAGGAGCTGTGGGATTTCTCACCAGGTCCACCGCTGTGTCGGTTTCTGCCGCCCGGGGGGTGATGAAGATGCGTGTGTGTCTGTGTTGGCGACGGAATCGCAGGCTGAAGCCGGCATGTGAAGCGGAGGGGTGCAGTCATGCTCTCACCTGCCCTGAGCCGGGGGTTGGACTCAATGGGCTTAGAGGTCCCTTCCCGCTCGACTGCGCTATGGTCCTGTGATTCTGTGGGTGGGGGCTGGGTGCGGGAGGATCACTGCGGCCCTGCCAAGGTGTGTGTGGCACAGGTAACTCAGTGGGTTCTTCAAAGCTACCGTTTCACCTCCTTGAATGAGACCTTTTGAGAACCCTGGTCAAGCTAAACCGTTCTGTTTGCTTCCAGGCTTGTTCTCTGATTTGTTCTACCTGCGTTGTCCTTTCCTTTCTCCTCTGCACCCCACAGAACATGCGCAGCTCCCCCTTTTCATCAGCCCAGCCTGTTGGGCTGCCCTAGATCTCTGCCCACTTCAGAGGCCTACTCTTTTACCTAAACACGTGGCAAAGAAGCTTGTTCTAGTGCCTCCAGAAATTTTCCCACAGGATCCAAAAAAAACACAATACCCTTGTTGGCAAAAATGAGCAGTTGACTGAGATCAGCTTTCTGAAATGTACGGCACGTTTCCTGCTCTTTAAAGTACTCCTGAAACGTCTGCTGTGCGCAGACGTCTTAACTGCCGAGAACTGTTCCCTGTAATAGAGGGAGGATCAGTTTGTCCATTAGAGTGTCCACACAAGATTTAAGCGCAGGAGTGATGATTTCGGAGTGCTGGTCTGAAGCTGTTTCTTCTGCATTCAGTTAGGTTTGTAGCCTTTTCTCGCCCGAGGGCTGATTTCAGTTGTGGGGAAGCTCTCTAGGGCTGCATTCCGGGGAGGACCGGGCCAAGAGCAAAAGGCAGGGCCAAAATATCCAGACCACAAACCTATTTTAGCTCAGCACTCTTATTTCCAGAAAGAGTGAAAATCAAGAGCGGCGTTTCAACTGGCCAAAATGGGATAAAATATTTTAAAAGCTGGTGAGCCTTAAGTTGTTGGGGGACCAGTAGAAGGGATTGTAGGCTCCCGGGGCAGGGGGAGTTCAACATGGATTAGTTCAACAGCCCTGATTCTGGAGTACCTGTTTTTGAGTAAAATCTCCCACTTCTGTCTTTTCTCCTTAAAAATAGTTACCATCACAATCACTCCATAACTTGGCCATAATTTCCAATAGTTATGCTTGTGGTAAAAGGATGACTACATCCTTTGATGACTAAGGAAAAAGGATGACTGTTTTACAATTTAGCCATGACTAAGAAAAAGGTTTGTACTTTCAAAAAATGGTTACTCTTCCTTGTTGTCCTAGAATTTATTTTCTCTGCACGGAGCGTTCCTTACCGGTGAAAGACGGTGCGCAGAATAAAGATGGAGGCAGGCACGACAGTCTTAGGGCAACAGGGCTGGGCTGAAAGTGCTTTTACCTTGTTCAGTTCGAAAGAGCAGGGTTCCCTACTGAGGTCAGTTCTGGAAAAAAGCAGTTTCGCCACTTGGGAAGCCAGCGGTGGAGGGCCTGGGCTGGCCACTGCCAGCTCTGGGGCTGCTGGCTTGTTTCTACCAACTGTAAGGTTTTCGGACTGAGCAGTGCTTGTGATAATGTCTTGCGTGCAGACTCGTATACCCCGAACGTTCCCGGTGTACAACTATTTTTCAGATAAATGCACAGTATGATGGGGGTGGGGATGGTGGTGAAGATGATGATGCAAGGGGCTTGAAAATCCAGGAAGGATTTGTAGACTGATAAACGCACTCCTGTCAGTTAAAACTTATTTAAAGGATGCTGCAGCGTGAAGTGGGGGGGGGGTGAACTTGGCTTAACCATTTCTGTCTTTCGCACCCTTTGAAGCACTTCCCTCAGATTATTTCCCCCCAGACTTTTGCAGGAGTGGAAAAAATTAGTAATGCTCAACACGTTGCATTTCTGAAGCACTTCTCATCTTCCCTCATTCCCACCTTGTTGTGCTGCACCTTTCAGAGCATTCCGTAAGTTTCATACACCTGTCCTTTGCTCTGTGCATGTCTGAGCGCTTTGTGCCTTACCGCAGGTTCTGCATCCGTACCTCGACGACCGCACTGTTCTGCTCGTCCAAATATATGGATTGGATGTTGTGTATACCCCGGACCCAAGTGGACAGAGGCCGGGAGAAATAGCGCCACGTTCTGGTCGGACCCTTGAACTTAATGCGCAGTCACAGCTGGGCTGGGCAGCTCTTCAGCTCTTTGACAGGTGAGGTCAAGAACATAAACATCACCGGGTTTGTTTTTTGGGCTCACGGTGCAATCCTATCCGTGTTTACCAAGAATGGTATCCCAGCAAACGAAGGGTCACCGTTGCAAATATATGGATGGGTTATTGCTGTACCTGCCTTTGAACATTAAGCTTGCTAGGAAGAAAGGGAGATCCACTTAATTGTTCAGCATGCCTGCTTTCCGAGCACAGAATGGGTTAGGGTGCTTTTGTTTCTAGAGTAGATCCCTCAGCTGTCCTCTCAGGGATAGAATGAGCTCCCGGATGAAACGGGTGTTGAAGAGACAATTGCCGGTGCCGTAGCTGGCCTTCTGCAGTTTATTTATTTATTTAGGAAACTTCTATGCCGCCCCATTCGCCGAAGCCTCGGGGCGGCTCACAAACGTAAATAAACTTCCTTAAAATAATATAAATTAACAGTATAAATTAAGTCGCCCCAGCCAAAGAATAAAATGAATAAATACTATTAACAATTAAAATGACATTTGAATAAAAAGGTCTTCGCCAGTTTAGGCAATCTGATGCTACTTCTTACTCCTTAAGAAAGCATGTGAGCAGAATGCCTGTGATTGTTCTCACCGTACCACAACCGTGAGACGACGTATATAAGAGCCATCCTCAGTGACTTTGGATGACAGACGCTCAGCCCAGCCTACCTCACAGGGTTGTTGTTGTGGGGATAAGATGGAGAGCAGCAGGAGGAGACTGTTGCTTTGAATTTGCAAGAGCAGAGCAGGATATAAATCCAATTAATAAACAAACAAAAGCATTGTAACTGGAGTATATTCATCGGAATCGATGGGGAAAATTAGCCATGACCTCTGATAGCCTCAAGTTCCTCTTTTTTCAGACAGGCTGCTTTACGCATGATTCAGTGCAATGAAAGATTATTGGATATCTTGAGAAACTGGAACCCCTAAGCTATGGACTCTGGACTCATGGCGGATCCCCCCCACATATACACACAGAGTCAGTGGTTGCAGAGGCCACAGAAAATTAAAAGAACCCAAACAGCAATTGTCAATCCGGACTTGCTGCTCTTGGGAGAACAGAACTACTTATTTTTAAGTGTGGGTAATTCGTGTCAGAGTTTCCTTTCTAGCTCTTTTCTCCCTGTCCCTTTTCCCTGGTGTGTCCAGTTTTTAGATGCTAAGTCTGTGAGCAGGAACGGCCTTATTAATTCCACATAAGCCACTCCAGGAGCTTTTTGGTTGGGAACATAATAAAAAGCCCATATTCTCTTCTTTTATTATGAATGAATGGCTTTTAACTTCTAGAAGCTGTTTCACCTAAAAAGAGATGCCCTCATCTTGCATTCATTTCTCAGCGGAAATTCAAACATAGTGACACAGCTCATTTTTCTTGTCTAATCATAGGTTGCACAATCTTGGAAGTAGGTGTGGGCTGAGGCTTTGAGGTGTGTCACCGGCTATTACAAAGGGACTCCCCACTTCTAAATTTGCCACTCACCAGGTAGCCATGCTCTAGCTCACAGATAATTATTTTCAGAGCTTCCCAGAGCCAACAAGGATTTCAGGCTAGGTTGGCTATAGATTGAAGAGCTTAAGTTTTTATAGCTGGAGACCTCCATACAACCCTTCAAAGAAAAATGTTAGCATGCATGGAAATGTCTTGGAGTACAATCCCATGGGAATCTAGACAGGAAAAATGCTCCTGGAGCATTGACTGGGAAATGCACAGAATGATAGAACCATTATTCTCTCTGAACATGCATAGGAATATGCCTTAAATATGGGAGCATTAGGCTACATATCCTACAAGGAAGAGCTCTCATCTATTCAACTACTTTTGTATTACTTAAGCATCTGCCATAAGACATAAATTGAACAATCAGATAAAACCTTTAAAATAATCGGACTATCATTCCTTTCTTTCCTGTTTCTCAGATATTTCTGCAGCTTTTTTAAAAAAATAAAGTTTTTGCCTTTTTAAAGGATCTTTTCAAGTATTCAGGAGAAAAAAAATCGTACAAAGAGTAGTAAATTCATATGCATGAAACTGACTGCAAAGAGCAATTAGTCCTTCATTAATATGCAAATTTGATCCAATGCAAATTCATCTATGTATGCGGTTTAAATATGCAAGCTGGTCTTGCTGTGCTAGAAAACCCAGATGCTTTTATTAACTTTGAAATTGAGGGATTTGGTTAATGATATTGTTGACAAGAAAAACTTGAATAAATTTGACGACTGCCGTCTTCCATATTAGCAGAGGCCTGTAGAAAAATAACCAAGCAAAGTGCCAATTTTATTTGTTAATTTTCCTATTACCAAACTAGGAATAAATGTCAGATATGAAGTAATATTGTTAGATCTCCTAATGTACTTATCTTTAGACCTGAAGACATTCCCCAAAGATACAGCCATTTTTTCTTAAAAGTTTGTTTTTATCCTAAGGGCAAAGCCATCTGCATAAACTCTATGAATAGCTTTCTGCCTGGAGATTTAATATTGGGAAGTTAGATCATTTTCATCTGAAGCAAATACATGCGCCGCAGAATTTTAAAAGATGCCAGAACTTTTACAGTTTGTTCTTATCAACTGTTCTTGCTATCTCGTTGCCATCATCTTGCTCACCATTTGGCAGAGCATCAATATGATGTCGCCGGCGACTTTCTGCCACCTGACGGTTTTTGGTGGTGGTCTTTGGTGTTTTTCCAGTACCATCCTGTCCACTGGGACATGGGAAGCGCCCTCCAAAGCCTTCCACCTCAGCTGGGCCTCAGTTTGGCCCTAGCCGACTCTTTTCCCACACTTTTACCAGAAACATATCTCTGGCTTAGTTTACTCTATGGATGCTCACGCTTCTCTGCTTCAGGGACCTGGATGTGTTTGCCCAAGGCAAGAGGCAAATTCTTACTGCAGGCCTTTGCATTTTGAGAAATGGAGAGCAGCCATTGCTGCTGCTTCCCAAAATGCACTGCGAGACCCTCCACTGGCTACTTTCCCTCCATTTTGAGACTGGAGCTCTTCTCCCTGTAGGCCTCGGGGCCATGACACCCAGTCAGTTTTGGGGGACTTCCTTTCCTGCCTGTCCGTCGGCTTTGTTGCTTAACGAAATGTTCTTGGGAACGCTACGGCTTACACAGTGTTGTTGCCTTACTGTAGATTCGGGCTTTTTAAAAATATACCTTGGTTCAGTTCCATTTGCTTTTCTGTTATTCCAGATCAGACTCTTCATGCCTCTTAGCTCAATATCGTTTCCTCTGCCAGAGACCGTGATTCCTCAGGGTCTTGGGCAGAAAGTATCTCTTTCCCTTGGCTACCTGAGCCCTGCAGACATCCGTGACTTTGAGAATGTGGGCCCCTGGGCCCCACCACAAAATGGCTAACACTGGAGTTGTGGGTAGTCACAAAGGACCAAGCAACTGGCCCCAAAGCTTGAGCACCAGGCAGAGGTGGGGTCTGAGCCCCAATATACAAAACTCCTTTGAACACAGTGCCAACAGAAACCAATTTCACAGCGTGTAAACTCTTTTTTCGCCCTTCCACATCCTGTCCATTCTCCCCATTTCCCTTTTTCTCTCTCATAGTGAACCAGCCCCGAAATACGAGCACTAAGGCAATTTGGTAAGCACTAGGAAAGGCATCTGGGGCCCGGCAGTTATCCATGGACATCTCATAGCCGATCCCTGCTTTAGAGCTGGCCTGGCAAATGCTTCTCTTGTTAGAGCAACAAAGAGGAAGGTCCCAGGGATGAAGCAAGACTTTTGAAACAAATCTGAGATTTGGACACGGTGCTTCCATGCCCGGGATTGCTCTAGGCCGAGAAATCTTGTGGAGTGCCGTCGTTTGCAGAGCTGCTGAAATCTAAAACTACTCGAGAAGTGAATAGATTATGGTGCTCCCTGAACGGCTGTTAATTCCCGGGACTCCTTTGCACAGCTGCTTGGGAAATAAATCCTGACCGTCAGAAATAGTTAAGTTCCTAAATCCTCCACATGCTACACTCGGCAAAGAACCTTTGGAGCAGTTCAGATGGCCCGGGTGGCAGAGTGGTGGGGGGGGGGTGGAGAATGCCGTGGGGATCACTACCTCACCGCTATGGTATTCCGAGTTGCAGGCGCAAGCAGGGCTTTTGGGCCAAGGCTGTGCGTGCTCCACTCTCGGAAAAACAAAAGACCTGCACGGAGGGAACGCAGATTCCGTGCCCCGGCAGGATCAGCCCGAGATGCTTTGCAGCCCGAGGTGGGGAATATCGGTGACAGTGCGTGCAGTCCCTGCCAGCGCAGAAATGAATAAACGAACATGGCGGAGTCCAGAGCATTTCTGTGCAGCTGCGGTGGGTTGCGGTGAGCCTGCTCCGACCCCCCAGCCTGATTCTGAGCGGCTGCACGGATCGGCTGCCGTGCAGCTCGCGGCAGTTGGCATCCCCCTTGCAAAGGCCCGGAAGGGCCTCTTCGGTCCGGTCCCTCTGCTTCTGCCAGAACCGAGCTAGCGGGAGCGACGTTGGCACCTGATCTGTGGGAGGGCCAGCCCAGAGAAGGCTTCCCTGGGGATAGGAGATCTTCATACTCTTTCTTTTTTTTTTTGTAATAAGTTTTATTTGAAATTATAATCCTAAAAACAAAGAAAAACTAAAAACAGCAATCATCAAAAACATCGGGCCTGCTGGGTCAGCCCCCACATTTTTTTTCCATTTATGCTAACTTAAAAACATATTTAAATCTATACGAAGTCCCGTTTCTCTAGCCGATAATAAAAAGAGTCCCAAGTTTGATAGAAGTGAGATCTTCATACTCTTTACTTTTGTTTTGACTTCCAAAGCTTTTGCGTCGTGTTTTATGGAGCATGTGCATTTTAAAGAATAACATGTGTTGAAAAAGGTGTGAACCTTACTGAGCTTACCTTGAGTCACAGGAGTCGAAGGAAACTTCCTGGGAGGATCGCCCAGTTCTTCTGCGGGACTTCCGAGCTCCGCACACATTTCTTCTAGGCTCCACTCCCTGCGTGCTTTCCGTTTGGCAGGCCTGAGGAAAAATATAACACTAATAACTTCCAGGGTCTCTTTTTGCTAACTTGATAACATATATCTATATATCTGTGTGTGTGTGTGTGTGTTCGGGAGATTAATAACCACTCCTACTGGTTGAGAGTTTATTAGCTCAAGGAGTATTTATTACTTCATAAGCACAAAAGCCCCTCTGGTTACCATCTAATTAAACTCCAATTCAGCTTATGCATTATTATAGGATGGGGTTGTGGGGAGCTGGATGAATAGTCAAACTTAAGAAGAAAACACCAAGGAACTGAGGTTACACACCAGGAGGAGCGGCCTCACCCTTATGCCATCTTCCTTTCTCGTCCTTGCAGAAGCTGCGTGAGAAACGGGGTACACAGTGCGCCTTTGTTCCAGGGGGCGCCAAATGCCGTAAGTATGGAATTGAACGAGGAGAGATGTTTGCACAGTGATGGGGGACAGAGGGTGCGGAGCCCCCCCCGATTTGCAACATGGCTTTGGAACAGTCTCTCGGTATGGACGGACACTTTCTCTTGGTCCGGTTCGAAAGCCCAAGCCTTGTTCACAAAGGTCAGGATATAAATAAAGAAAGCAACGATTGAGCCAAGCAAGCAGGGCTTCGGCCTCCGTGAAGCGTTTTGAGCAACCGGGGCCAACGTCCTTCATCGATTTGCCTGTCCGGAGTGTAGTCAATTTCCCCTCCAGGTGTTGTGGCCTCCAGCTCCCATCATTGCTAGCCAGGGAGGGCTCGGAGGACCAGGTAGTCCCGCCCAGGTAGTCCGGAGCAGCACGAGGAGCCACAGAGCCGGTCAAACCCTGCCGTCACGAGATCCCCTGAGCATGAGTCCCGTCCCCGTGCAGCATTTGGCCGTTTCTGGCAGACATGCAGACTTGGGGGTCCTGTTGCCCTGGCTTGGCTGTAGGCCAGGTCCCTGCCCGCCCCTGCAGCGGGATCCAGCCATGGCCACGGGTGCCTACGATTCTCTCTGCCTCTCTTGGCGCCAGGCCCTCCCAGAGCTGGCAGCACTAATTTTATTCTCTTTTGTCCTCTCCTTGGTGATGTAATCCTGCAGTTGGCATTTGCAGGATCCATATGTCAAGTTGTGGAATGCCTCGTTTCCATGATGTGGGTTGTTTGTCTCACTCGCCTCCCGTGCACGACCTCCTGGCTGCCGAGGGCACGAGTGGGTTATTGTGACTGGAGAGCTGCAGCGTTCACTCGTTTTTTTAAATGCCCCTGGATTCCTGTTAGCCTTTTTATTATTTCTACAGAGAAAGAGAGGGGGAGAATATTTTATTCTCCCAGAATGCCCATCATCGCGACCGATGGATTCTGTACAGGGTGAGAGGCTGTGCATTTCAGCGGGGGGGTTTTTTGGTAGGTGTCTGTGAAATGGACACACTACCCCCTTCACAGGGACTCTGCCAGTGAAGTGCTGTGCTACCTAATGGTTTGTTTGTTTGTTTGTTTAGACAACTTATATGCTGCCCCCTTCGCATAAGCCCCTAAGCTTCCGGGTGGCTTCTAAAGCCTCAGGGCGGCTTCCAAAAAACCTTATCTTTTTCCCCAGCAGGGGCTGATATTTATTTATTTATTTAAAACATTTCTATGCTGCCCCCATCGCAACAAAGACTCGGGGCGGCTCACAAAAAATACAAAAAAAACCACATAAACAATAACAATATAACAATTTAAAAGAAAAAAAAAATTAAAACCCCCGGTTCATTCTCGGCTAATTTTAAAATCCTAATAAATGCAATAATTTAGCAATTAAAATAAGTTTTAAATAAAAAGGTCTTAGCCTGGCTGATAATAGGCTGATGGCAGGCATGCACAGGAAGTCGATCAAGATCTTCTTGTCTTCTCAGCATGATTTGCAGTCAGTCGGCAAAAGTTTCCGACTCTCGGCAATCCTCCTCACTTAGCAGCACCTAAAAGGCAGCTTATCACAGGAGTAGCCAGGAGCAGGTTTCCGTGAGAAAGGACTGTGAGCGCAGTGCAATTCTGGCCTCCAAGTTTCCAGGCTCGGGGTCAGCTTGACTGGGCACCTGCCGTGGGCCCACACCCTGGCAGGGGCCACTGACAGGAGCCCCCTGCAGGCGGACCTCCTTTCCATCGCCTCACGCCTCTGGGCCAGGCAGGAGTGGCCGCGAGGAGGGGCAGGAGATGCTCCATGTCCTGTCGGCGGAGCGACGATGCCAAAGGGACCGGGCTGGTGGCCCGTCGTGGCCGAGAGCAGCTGCCATCCAGAGCCCCTTCCCTGCTGTATATCAGTGGCAGAGAGCGGCCTAGTGTGCACTTGCAAAACGACGCAATATCACAGCTCCTCTTCCTGCCGTGTATTTCATTAGTAATGAAATTACACAGCAACACAGGAGATGTGGGTGTGTTTAACTACGCAGTGTCAGGGAACTTGGCTTCTTTAGATCAGGCTTCCGCGAGTACTTTCCAGGGACACTGGAATGCCAAGGCCCACAACTGGCCATGCTGACTAAAGATTTGGGGAGTTGCAGGTTAACACATCTGGGGAGTGCTGGGTTTGGAGGGGCTGCTTTAGATATTCCTGGCTCGTTCTGGAAGTCCGTAGCACGGGAGAGTATCCACGGGAGAGTATCAGTTGCAATGCCATTCTTTCCCCCGGACTGAGTGACAAACATCTGCAGACCGCCATTACATTTATTGGATATAAATGTAACCAGCTGTAACAAGCTTTTTTTTTTTTTAATGCTGCCCTGGGTTCATTATTGTGCTGTCAAATCGAATCGGACAGCCTCAGAAATGTGAAGAGTGTTATGGATCACGCTGTGGGAGCAGCCAGAGGACCTTTTCTGGTGGTATTTATAGGTTGTCTTGCTTTCTACCACAAAGAGCCGCCTTGCAACGTAACTCAGACACACAAATACAGGCATCTGTACTTATGACGAAAACAACCAAAATCAATATTAGCCCTGTTAGCACAGCTTTGCTAGCGACCGGTTTGCTTCTGGGTAGAATTCAAGGTGTGGGTGATGACCTAGAAAGCTCCTCTGGCTTGGGTCCAGGAGACCTGAAGGACGGGTTTCTCCCATGCCAGCCTGTGTCGGTCTTGAGTCCCGGTTCTGAGATCTTTTGGTGGTGATGCAGGAGCGGATCCTCTCCATGGCCCCTCCCAGGCTGCAGGACGCCCTGCAGGGGGAGGCGAGGACGGCTCCCGTTCGTCTCTCCTTCCATCGACAGGCAAAATTTTTTTTGAGCAGACATTTGGTGTGTAAACAGGACTGCTGAGCAGCATGCTGTTTTTATTCTGCTGTTGCTGCATCTTCAATTAAGTTTTAATGCACTCCTTTTATTATTGTTTTAATCAAGTTTTATTTATGATGGCGAGCCTTTTCGAGCGCCAATTTTCTTGATCGGCAGGGTACAAATAAAGTAAATAAATAAAATAATCAGTAAATGGAAATGAACATCGTAAAAACATCATCTGAAAATGGTGCACTCCATGGGAAATATTCATCCATAACACACACACGGTTCTCCTTGCCCTTCTCCAGCCCGGAAGAAACACCTCAAAAGCAGCCCACAATGATGGGAAATAAGCATGCCTCTGCCTGGCGCCGGAGAATGTCAGTTAAAATGAGCCATGGGCCATTTTTCAGACCTCCATCCCCTGAGCCTCTCTTCAGGGAGGGGCCTCTGAAGCTGACCTCAGGGACCAGCTTTGTTTGGGGGGACACGGCCCTTGAAACGTAGGTTTCTCATATCTCTGATGGAGCAGGGGAGAGGTTAAGCGGCAACCACATTCAGCCCTGATGTATCCGGCTCTCGGTAGAAAGACCTGTCCATCAAAACCGTGGCTCTAGGCTCAGAATGCAGATTGCACTGGCCTATATTCTTTGAAGCTTAGTGCTCTGGACTTCCATCTGAAAGGGGTCGTGTGTTCAATATGTTTGCAAGGGATTTCTCCAGAAGATAAGCTCTCAGCCCGTGAAAGAGGTAATGGCTGAAGGTTTGCAGAAGAAGAGGCTAAAATTCCTCGCCACTCATGGTAGTGTTGCTGCGGAGCTGTGGGACGGCCATTACCTTGTCCATGAGCGTCACGAGTTGCCTGTGAGTCTAACATTTTGTGTAGTATTAATCCATGTCATTATGATGAATGATCTGTAGAGCTCCTTGCGCGAAAGACTTCTATTTCTGGTTATTTCTTTAGTTGTTCAAGCACTGTGGCTCTCAGGCTAGCTTGGCCCTTTATCTCTAGAAGTGTTGATCTGAAACTCCCCTTAAGGGAATGCGGGTTTCCCTCAGCAGTCACTGCGACCTGGTTCAGACACGTGACAATCCAAACGGAGGGGTTGTGTGTGGGTTGCCATTGAACCATAGGCCACTGTTGACGTGTGACTTGTCATGTTGCCCGAACCCCACTGAGATGCTGAAGCTTGGTGAACGACCTGTAGGTCGCACGGTTCCCTTCAGGGACTATCCATCGTCAGCGAGCCAGAACTTGTTGGACACAGGAGAAACTGGCTTATCCTGGGCCTGTTCAGCCTGGCACGGCTGGTGTGGACCAGCGATAGCTCTCCAGACAGGAGACGCTGAGAATTCAAGCTGGGCCCTTCTACCTGCACTACACCTGCTCTTCCACTGAGCCACAGCCCCTCCGCTCAGCGCAGTGGCTGAAGCCAAGCCGTAGATCTCAAAGTGACCAGCTGGAACGGAGGCAGCGCAGGGAGAGGACTGGAGTGGATGGCCATGTCCTTGTCTGTGCCTAAAATGAGCGGCTTCCTTTAGCTACACCGACAACGAACCCTTAGACATCAATATTCACCTTTTGCCAATCCACAGAGGTTCGAGGTTGGCTGGTGTAGGATCTTTCTATTTGTCTTTCCCCCCTTTCAGATTAAACCTGAATTATTTTGAGGAAACTGTATTGGTTTCTATTCAGCAAAGTGTGTGTTGGTGTTCAGTAGTTAACCTAGTTGGTCTGTAGAAAGACTTCCCTTGCAGGATTGGCATAAAAAATTGGGACAGTATGAGCACGGACAAAATAGTGCATCTAATGTCAGTCTGATTAGACTAGACTCATTGAAATGAATGGTACTTAAATTAATCCTGGCTAACCAAAGTGCCATTCATTTCAAAGATTCTACATAGGACGAACGTTGGATAATGGAATGAAGCTGAATTTGAAAAACAAACCTATTTAATGGCATCAGATCTTTTCATCATATAATGACGTTAAAGCTCTAATGTTCAGTTTATTGTCTGTAATGTTATGTGTCTTATCAAATCTTAGTAGTACCACGGGCCAGAAGCCAATCTTACTATTTCTTGCTGCAGATCATCTTTTTTTGCTTTTTACTGAATCATACTGAATCGTCAAATCTTAAATGTTTAATTAAATAGTACAGCCAGATTCTGGAGAATCTTCATTTATCATGATCAATAAACTCCTGCTTGGTTCCTTTTACTAGAGTGAGCAGTTAAATCAATAAAAAAAGTATTTGTTTAGTGTGTTGTGCAAACAAGGGATCCTGCCTTCTTACTTTTCGGCAAGCCAGGATTCATAAACCTTGGTTTGCTGCTCTGGCTTGGAAAGAGAATAAGAAGCCAAGGACACCAGTTTGGACAGGCAAAACAGTTTGAGCGGTTTTTCCTGGCATATTTGCCCACTCATATTAGTGGGATGGAGCCAAGCAGAGCCAAACAGGTTTGTGGCAGTTCTTCCAGCTGACTTAGCATTCCGTGTAAATGCAGCCTGTGAATCATGCAGAGTAGGTGGGCGATTTGGTCTCAGATAAACGTTCAATTTAATGGTGTGCCCTAGCTACAGTTTGGGAATCGTATTCAATTTTCTTTCAGGTCCCTGTGTCAGTGTGCATATTCACTGGACTATAACTGCAATAATTTCCTACAGTTTCCTTTCTGAAATAATATAGGTTCAAAATGACCTCCTAGACATTGGCAACAGAAGGAAGTTTCTGGCAACCCAAGCCAGCAAGAGGGGCAAGGCCGTGTCACAGCTTGTTCTGAAAACACTGGATAAAAAAATACGGAAGCTGGGCTGCAGCAGCCTAGAATACCAGCAGCAAGAGCAATTTTACAAGCAAGTTGTGGGAAATGCCTTTTACAATGTTGTGGTAAGTGCAGAAACGGTGGAGGCACGTAACATTCCACTGATCTTTCCATATTTATTTGTTATATAAGAGACCAATTGCACTGCTCTGACGACTGTAGGGTTACACTGCACAAGGTGTCCAGTGCACCTGTGTACCTTCGGCACAGGTTTAAAAAAAACGCGACTGGCCTCAGCTGGGGGAAGGGAGGCTGATAAATGGCAGGATCAAAGCAGGTATGGGAGATTAACTCTCTGCTCTTCTCTGATGCACGAGGCAGAGCTGAGTTTTGAACTCCAGCAGACAAAGCCACTCTTCAATCTGAATAAGGGCAGGGCTTGTGGGAGGCACTCCCCCTTTTGAAAAGCACCATTTTAAACATCTAAGAAATAAAAATAAAGATCAGGCAAAGCAGCGGTAGATTTTCTTTATGGACAAGAGTATATGTGCTTGGAGGTTTTCCTTATGGTTCTCCACGCTTACAAATTGTATGCAGCCTCTTTTCCATCATCTGAGGAAAGGCTTTGCTGTGGTATACATGATTTTTACCGTATAACCAGTTCTGATCCCCGGGACTAAATTCTTTAATTCCTCTGGCTAAACGCATGGAATGTCCGTTACATTTCAGGAAACAGCGCTCTTGAATGCAGGATCTGGCCCATTATGAATTATCATCTTGAAGTCACTCCACAAGGAGGGAGGAGGCTACTGAATTGCAGACACATTTTGATAACAGTGCTGCAAACCCAGGGATATTAGAAGGAAGACAGAACTTCTGAATCTGGAGACTCAAGTCCTCAACAAACTATTGGTTTAATCTGGGAGACAATAGTTCCTATCCACTTTTTTTTAAGGTTCTTATCAAAACTCAAAGCATCTCTTAACATAGGCCTTAAAATTAATTAATTCTAAGAGTACAGTCCTGTGTGTGCTGATCAGAAATAACTCCCAGGTGAGTGATTATGGGATAGTGCCCTATGTGTATTCTTAAAACGGTTACTGTGATTCACAGCATTCATTGGAAGCCCAAACCGATCTGGTCCTCACATAATGCTAACCCATGGTTTATTTAACTCCTGGGTGCCCAGGGTTTGCCTGGCAGATGATTGAACAAACCATAGTTTTCTCAGTCCTTGGGTTGTTCCTCTCCTCCTTCAACAGCTTCCTCACTGCATATCAAATGCCACTGTGCACCGTGGTTAAGGCCTTTTTCCTGCTCTTACCTGCCACCTCTATAGGCTGGTGAAACATTCCACAAACCACCCATGATTCTGAGTTTGCATGCAACTACAACCCATGGTTTAAAGAACCTAGATTTCACAATCCCCAAATGAACCATGGGTTCTCTTTCTCCGTTTTGTGTGTGTGTGTTGTTAGCTGTGTGAGCACCACCACATTCATCACAACAAGCCAGAATTCAAGAACCTATTCTGTAGGTTTAGCATGATGTGTCAACCAGATATTAAATTTGTTGCACTTTGACATTCACTCACTTTCATTATGTATATATGAGATTTAAAAAAAAAATCCTACAGGAACAAAACCTAACTCAGGCCTGTTCCGAAGTGATTCCCTTTGAGTTGCGTGTGACTTACTTCCAGAAAACTTATATAGGATGCAGCCTTAATAGCAACCCGATAAACCAATAGCCTCCCCCTCTGCCCCTTCTTGTTTTCACATTTAAAAATAAATGTGCTTTGTTTCCTAATCGTTCAAATTTTCCCTTTGTTATATTTCTGACGATGTTTGGGGAGGGCCCTGGTTTCAGTGGTGGGGACACTATCTCGCTTAATCAGTGGAAGTTAATTTTATAGCTGTTTGCTTTCATCCTCTGGGAACTCTTAAAGGGAGTGGGGTGGGGGAAGTGAGTGGCTAGGGAACGTAGGTTACCAAGGCAGGAAGGGCTTCCGTGACGTTTCCACTTCTGCACCTCCTGAAAAGATCACAGGAAAGCGAAATCGAGATGGTGCGATGGAAAGAGCAGGCGCCCATCGTCCACCTTTCTCCGAGTCTTCCTCCTGCAGGGGAGGTGGGGAAGGAAGGTTCTTCCCATGACATCTCTCATGGGTGGCTGTCAGAGGCCAGGCTAAGAATCAGCCCTCTCAGGACAGAGCCGTGACTCTTTTATTTGGAGTCTGGAACCTCTGGGAGGCTATCTGCCCCCCAACTCCGGTCCAGGGGTACCTGTAGAAATAGAAGTCCAGGGCCCCCAATGTTTGTTTATTCATTTAGGACATTTATAGGGTGTCCATCGCTTGTGTCTCTGGACAGCTTACAATATAATCTAAACCCTAAACAAAATAAATTAACTATCCCACGACTGAATACATAAAATAGAATAGTTAAAATAGGTTAAATAAATAAATATACAATTAAAATCAATTAACATTAAAATATTGGTTAAATAAAAAGGTCTTGACCTGGTGCCAAAAAGCATATCATGCCAGCACCAGGTGGACCTCTCTAGGGAGCGCATTCCACAGTCAGGGCGCCGCCGCAGAGAAGGCCCTCCCCACCGGGCTCGATCCACCTGGGTGAGCTGCTCTTTGGCCACATGTGCTTCACCTCCAGCCGCCTTCGAATCTTTTTCCCTGAGGCTTGTTTCTGAAATCAGATCCTCCCCCACCCACTCGCCCTAGCCATGCATCCCTTCTTCTGCCAAGCCCTTACATCAGGACGCTAAAATAAGTGTCTATAGTGCTCTCTCTCTATGCTCCTGTTCCCCAGAAATAGGTCTGAAAATCGCTCCCCCACCCCCGAGTCTAGTTCCTCTCGCTCATATGCACAGTTCTTTCAGAAAGCCTGTTTTATCATTTATATCAACGACAGGTCAGCCTGTCCACTTCTCCTTCGGGGTCTTGGGGAACAAGGCCTTCCTCAGCTTCTGGGCCTTTCACCTGGCGATCCTGGAGACCTGGACACGCCGGCCTCCCCTCACCCCGTTTTAGAGCGATTATCCAGAGCCTGCCATTGTTCTTTAGAGCCAAGATTGAGAGGCGCGAGAGAATAGAAGAGCATCATTTGTCTTTATATAGCTGATCAGAGATGCCAATGCTGACTTTATTTTTTCTCCTGCTTACCAGAACATTTGACTTGCTAGAGACATCCCAGGCTCGTGAAATCAAATGTATTGTCTGCCAGTCTGCGTTTTCTTCCTACGGGGCCATCTGCTCACCTCAAATATTAAATGTTTTTCATTTGGTTTTTTTTTTTAATACATTCTGTATTACAGCAAATAAATCAGCATTGTTGTCTGACACAGAGTAGAAAGCACCATGCTGATTTATGGGCTGAACAAGAATTTTTCTACTATCCGGAAGAAAATGTTCTCCGGCCCCCGTGTTTATTACTACATTAATGAACTGTTCTCGAGGCGGGGCTTGGCCATCCCCCCGGCACACACACAGAAATAGGCCTTCCCCCAAAGTGGTACGCACAATCATTTGTGCATTTCTGAACTGTGCCTTGTTCATCCCTGTGCAGTACTTTAAACTTCATGAGCAGCATTCTACCTTTCAGCACCGATCCAGGTGGGGTGTGTGTGTGTGTGTGCGTGTGTCTGGGCTGGCATTTGCTGACCCCTGAAGGGCTCTCCTCAGGCCGGACAAAAAGGTGGCCTGTCACCTAACTCAAATGCAGGTTTCTGAGTTACACAGATGTCTTTTCTATCTGCAGCAGAGCACATGTGAAACTTGCAAGCTTGCATATCCTTATGCAAATAGGGGAGAGACCTATAAAGAATCTTATCAGTTCTGAATAAGGCACTTATCTGCATGGAGTTTGTGCTGTTGCAGCTACACCTGCTAGGATGTCTGTAACTTGATCTGTGTCCACAGGAACACTCGGTAAGCAAATACTTCCCCGTACCTTGCCCTCTCGTGCTCAAGCACCCCCCATTCTGAGGTAACACATTTTGCAAATGTCCCAGTTAGAGCAACCACATACCCACGTGCGGGTAACCCTGGTTTAGTGTCTCCAGAGAGAAGTTGGAGGGTTAGACGCATACGCGGTGTCAGGGGCAGCTGCTTTGGAGTCTGCCAAATACCCGCATCCCAGTGGGAGCTCCCACTGACCTGTTGCTTTTCATCGCTGAACTTTCACCAGCCGTTTGCTTTAGCTTCTGCCTGTGGTGGACCAGGACAAGCAATACCCTGCTCCTGGCTCCTTGTCTGCTTGCCCACCGGCTGTCAAGCACATCAGGGAAAGAGGAGGAAGAGCCAAGAGCGGCTCGTGAAAATGGTGGCGAGAAGGTAGCATCCCACCGAGGGTGCCCTGTTCAAGGGCCCTCTAAAACCTGGAGCCGACATGGCTTGGTGCAGAGGAACCGACAAGAGATGAGACCGGTTTGCCTTATTACGCTGAAAGGCAAGATCACCCACTGAACCTGATTAGCGGCAGATTCTCGGGACGTGAAAGACACAGTGCTCATTTACAAAACTGTAATTAACCTATGGGATTTACTGCCATGGGGATGCGGCAGCCGCTGGCCTAGAGGGCACTCAAGGGTGATTGGACAGGCTGGTGGAGGATGCCCCTCATTTTCATGCACACTGAGCTAGAGATGCCTCCTAGACAGTTACAGATGCATTTATCTCCTGCCCTTTGGCCAAAAAGAAAAAAAGAAATTACAGCAAACAACTAAGGAAGCCATCCTGGGACAATTGGATTGTGTAGGGCGGGGTAAAAATATTCTAAAGAAATAGATAAAAAATGAGAAGAACAGGCAAATCCACAACAAAATCTTAATTAAAGCATAACACAAAAGCCAATAAATTAGAAACAGAACCCTAGAAGAAAGAAATGTCACCAAGTGGTTAAACCTTGAGTGACAAGGCAGCTCCCACGTCCAAGGCCTGACCAAATCACAGCATCTTGGCTTGCTGCTGGAAGGACAGCAAACGGGGCCCCTCTCAGCAGGAGGTGCCGGAGCTTGGAGGGGCTGCTGGGAAGGGCCCCCCCCCCCCGAATGTGGTCCTGGCCGTGGCGGAACGAAGACAAAGGCCCTCCCGCAGGCAACTTCAACCTTGGGCAAGCTGTCAAGGCTTCCACGGGTCACAACCAGACATTAGCTGCACATCACCATGTATTTCCCGCCTGGCGTTTCCGTGATATGCTTGGAGGTGGCTTTACTAACGGAGGTGATGAGCCCGCACTTGGGATCGCGTCCAGAAGGAGATGGGGGTCCGGCAACACGGTGGTGACAAGAGCGTCACATACTCTTCATGGCAGGTCCCAGGCGGCGGTCTTTCTGCAGCGTTCCGGAACAGCAGCCGCCCTGGGTCATGGAGGCAGCGAATACCACTAAAGGAGGTCAATTCCCAGTTTCTCTGGATCCCCTTCAGCGCAAAATAAGTCCGGCGGAGATGCCTGCATATCCTCTCTCTCTCGGTAGGACTGAACTCGGTCAAAACTTTGCAAGGAGGGGTCACAAAAGGTCCTGTAGGGGGACACTTTACCAGACCTGTGGGGATTTTAAAGACGGTATTTTCATGCATGCTGCTGCTGTTTGTAAAACAAAGAGAGGTGGGGCAGAGAACATTTAGGGGCATGTAGAGCCCCCAGCTCACTCCTGCCAATGGGAGCTTCTGGTGCCAGCTGCAAGCCGCTGGCTGGTGCTGAGCCACTTTCCCCATACGGCTTGATGGAAGGGCTCGCACATGGGGCCCATTTCTGTAACTACCAGCTAGGGCAACACGGGCATTTGGACGTTTGAGTAATACCTCATCCGTAAACAAGCTGGCACAAAATGGGACAGGGAAAGAGAGAGGGAAAGCAAACACGTGAAGCCCCGTGGCCATCTTTCCGCAGGAAGCAACAGCCGGCCTTGCCCCTCTCTGCGATGCTCCATTTCCACCGCAGCAAGTCAGGGGTGTGCCCAGGTCCCCTCATCAGGCTGGGCTGGGGTCCCAGTCCTGACTTCGCAGATCCAGATACAGGGCAAGGAGAGCGAGGGCCTTCCAGGGGGGTGGGAGTGGAGAGGCTGGGATCTCACAACCTTCCTGAGCCCCACACTTGCCCCCCATGGTGTGACTCATCAGGCCATTTAGCAAAAATAGAACCCGAAATGAGGAAGATGGAGAGGCAGTCAGATTTGCCGTGCTCCTTCCCAGAGAAAACATTGCACCCTTCTTGGGTTCACCTCTAGACAATTTGGCAACCGCACGGCAAACCCATTTGCGGAAGCAAAGCATAACATGATCAATGTATATCACATTTTCATACCTCTTTTTCCATCATCTCCCACCAGGCCCTGCCTGACTATATTATCGCAATATAACCAGAATGATCTGCACCAGAGTTTCCCTGGTCCCCCCCTTCCTTCCATCCCTGCCTGTACTTGCATGTGTGTTTGGTTTTTTTTTTTTAATTTTTGCAGCCTCCCTTTCACACCATACCCCGTTTTGTTTTTGTCTTTCCCCCCTTTTTTTTCTCATTGCGTTGCTCCTAGATCTGTTTGTGATTAAATTGCAGAAAGTGGTCTATTGCAAAAGTATTTGCTGGATTACATAACGTTTGTAACATTATCAATACAGGACAAATAGTTCCACAGTTTGATTTTTTTTTTTTTTAAGAATAAGGATTTACCTTTTTGGCATGCATCTTCTCAGCCTTTTCTAGCAATAGTCATGCCATGGAGCACCATGGAACAATAATGCGC